GCGGTTGAGAAGTTAGAAAAAAAAAGCAGGAGACTGTCTAGGACTGGACCCTGGCTCTGCCAGGACCGGACCCTGACAGGCCTGAGTCCGGTCATTGTTAAGGGCACAGTTGAGAGGGCCTAGTGATGTCCAGACCCGACGCTGGGATAGAACCGGACCCATGCGCGGGAGTCTGGTTATGACTCATAGATAGCACGGACTGATGTGGCGAGGACCGAACCTAGGTGGTGAGTCCGGTCATGAGGACCGGACCCAGTCCGAAGGGTTTGGGCGCTCTCTGGACGTCTCTAGACTTGACTAGACCCTGCTGACTCAGAGCGACCAGACCCACAGGTGGTGAGTCTAGTCCTAACCCTAGTGGCGCGTGGCGCAGAAGTTGCAGTGAGGACCGGATCTAGGCGAGAGTCTGGTCATGAAAACCGGACCGAGTCCGGTCATGTTTTAGCGGCTCACGAGCTCTCTATTCTTCGTTGGACTCGCGCGTTAGTGTATGACCGGACCGAAGGCCTAATTTTGGTCCAGAGCTAACGTTTGTGTGTGACTTAAGTGACCGTTGGAGATCAACGATCGGGGTTCAAAGCGGTGCCACGTGGATGGCTAGGAGCGACCGAACCCTGACCAGAGTCTGGTCAGGTGAGTCCGGTCGACCCCTGACAGAGCAACGGCTCTATTTGTCTGAAGGGGTCTATAAATAGACTTGGGGCGCCTTGGGCTCACTCTATTGCACATTTTCACCTATGATACATCCTTGTGAGCCTAAGCAAACACCTCCCACTCATCTCCATCATTGATTCATCATCATAGTGAGCTTGGGAGTGATTCCAAGTGTATTTGCTTGAGTGATTGCATCTAGTGGCACTTGGGGATTGTTGTTGCTGTGGATTTCTTGTTACTCTTGGTGTTTGCTGACACCTAGATGGCTTGAAGCAGCGAAGGAGCATTGACACGAGTTGGTGATTGTTTGTGGCCATCTCTCGGTGATTGTGAGGGGTCTTGTACCTTCCCCAGCGGAGAGCCAAAAGGTAACTCTAGTAAATTGCTCGTGTTATTGAGTTACCTCACTTATGGGTAGTTTCTTGAGGCGCCAAGTGTTGGCTAGGTGTGTGGTATCTATTAGCCGCCGAACCACCAAGTGTTGGTCGACACAACGGGGACTAGCGTGCCGGCAAGTACGTGAACCTCGGGAGAAAAATCTTATATCCATTGTGATTGGTATTCTCCCGGTCATTGATTGGACATTCATTGTGATTGGTTCATCTCTCTTGTCACGGTGGTATAATCACCCTACACACTCTTTATATTTACTTTGTTTATATTCTTGCCTAGTCAAGTTTTTTAGTATAGTTAGTCTTTAAGAGCTTGTTAGTTTGGTTAGTGATGTTCTTTAGTTAATCTTTGAGAGCATCTCCAAGAGTATCCTATATTTTTGTAACGCTCAAAGTCCAAACGACTTAGATCCACTTTGCACGTTGAGCGAACCACAACTACCACCATCCCACTTACGCTTTCATCCTCGCTTCGCATAAAAGGATTAACCTAGAGATGGTGGGATGGACTCTAGAAGCCTTATATGTTAGTCTATCCCACCTTTAACAATCAAGGTGGAACTAAACTCTTCATAATATCTCATTAACTTGCACATAGGTCACTATAGGCCAAATTCCAAACTGGGCCGAATGTGATAATTTTCTTTCCAAAAACATGAAGTTTTATAACTCCTAAAAAAGTATTGGAAAGAATAAAAGGTCATCTCCAAGAGTTTCGAATAATCCACTCCTAAAATATAGAAGACAATTTTACATCAGGAATCTTATACTATTCCTAAATTATCCTAACCACTTTTATATATTTTTTTCTCTCTTGTACATTTGCATCAGGAACCCTTTCCTACTCTTTATTCTTTCCACGCCCTTCCACATTTATATTGGTCGGCAAACACGTGCGGGGAGAGAAGATACAGGCGAATCGGAATCGCGTAACTTTAGGCGGAACAGGGTAACTTTTTCCATGTTCTAAAAGATTAGGAGGATAGATTAAGAATTGTTGGAAAGAAGTTTTTCTCATCTTACTAAAAACCAAGGATTAGAAAGAGATTTAGGCAACTCTTGGAGATGCTCTGAGAGCTCACTAGCTTAGAGAGTAGTGACTTAGCCCTTGTGTGAAACTAAAGATCATAGCAACTATAATTGTTAGTATAGGTGGCTTACAACCCTTGTAGAGCTAGAGCAAAATTGTATTTCACCATTTAGATTACTAACCTTGTGCTCTAGTTATTTTGTAAAAAAAATTATAGGCTATTCACCCTCCTCTAGCCATTTATTAGGACCTTTCAGACTTTGACTACTATGAGGCCGGCGGGGACCCCTTTGTAGTCACTGGTATCGTGGGCTTGACCCGCAGCCCCTGTAGCCGGCACCGCAGTCCCTACTCCCTACCACTATCGGATCTCTCACCGTGCAGTGAATCTGGTGGAAGGAGCAGCGAGGAAGAGTGAGGCGGAGGCGTGTGGTGCGTGATGCGGGCGAGTGGCCACCCCGCTAGGGGCTATGCCTCACGACTGGGGCACCGCCGGGCTGTGCGTAGCGCGCGGAGGTGGCCACACTTTGGGCCACGTCGGGAGAGAGAGAGGAAGGGGAGGTTGGGATAGAGACGTGGACAGTGCGGAGCCAGCGACGTCGACCAGTGGGGTGGGAGCGATGGTGTCGCCTGCGACGGCTGCGGGTATAGAGCAGGAGTGCGCGTGGATGGCATCTTTCTTTTCTTTTTTGCGATGCTGGCGAGCGGCGCAAGCAGGTTGACCTGTTCGGACGAATGACGGCCGGGTCTAATCATTACCGTAGAACAAACTTTTGTGAACCGAACTGCTTCTGACGTTGCAGTGTACTTACCCGGAATCGTTTGTTGCTTTGACGACCTTTTCTTGCTCGGAACACATGAAGATCACTGCCACCACTTTTATGTAATTGACATATCCTTATTGTCATTTGCTATTGTCCTTGTTGGTTAAGAAGCTATTACCAGCCTAACCCATTACAACGAGTTCTTCTGAACGATTATATTAGTTCTTCGTGAGTACTTAGGATGTTGGCTTTATTGCGACGCAGTGACCATCACTCGGGTTTGATTAATACCTGCTGTAGCACTCGATGAGATCATCAGAACATGTGAAATATCTAGACGAGCGCACGGAATCGCGTAAAAATAGAACCAATTGTTACGCTGAACTCCGTCAAGTTGGTCCAACGGCCAACTGAGCCCTTGATTCGCGTTCTGATCGGGGTGTCTAGCCGTTTTCCTGTCTGATGGGTCTCCGTCACGCAGCACTATAAAAAGAAAGGTGAGGACCGGGGCGCAGAGTACGAGGTTCACTGGTGCCGTCAGTTCCCTACCGAATCTAACCCTAGTCCGATCAAGATGGTAGTGCTGTGAGCGACGGGAAACTCTATCATGCGCTACTGGACCGTCCTCCACTACGATGCTACTTCTATTCCGACATCAATGGCCATGGCCGCCACTGCATGCGGCGAGGTACATCACCAAGTCCTTATCTAAGTTAAGTATTTCTCCACTGATCTACGCCCTAGATGATCAAGAATTCTATCACCAACAGCCAAAGCACGTTGCACTCCGATCACGGTCGTTGCGCTCGACTCGCGTAAAAAAAACTAGAGCACATTATAAGGATGAGTTACGTTTATAATGACACGGACAGCTATACAACACACACAACTCATGCGAAGGGTAATTACTGACAGCACAATGATCTGATCTGACGCGGCGGGAATCGGGATCTATCGACGATGAACTAACCTGGTCCGAAGATCAACCCATCGGTGGTGATCAGATTCATATCGGCTCGTTGATTGTGACGGATCGCGATCCAGCACCATTTCACCATCAAAGGTGACCAGTCGGCGCTCGCGAAATTGACCGGGTCTAGGTGCGGTTGCTGCCTTAGCTTTTCAGGTGGACTCGTCGAACTGTAACCACCCGTTCGTTCCGTTGTCCCGCGTGGTCAGAGAGCGAGACCCGGGGGCCACCCAGACCCACGTGTGCCGAAGCAAGCCAGAACGAACTCTTTCAGCATCGGACCAGACGAACGACCATGCCACATGCCAGTTCGGAGTACAAGTGTCGTCCGCGGCTGGTCTACGCGGATTGGGATTACCAGCAGGATCCAGACCCGTGTGAGCTGTGTTGTCCCTCTGATCCGTCGATGTGTTCGATGCTGACAGTCGCGATATGACGGGAGGGAGCTACACTACTGCCTCTGCCTGTGGCCTGTGGAGGTCGGCAGATGGTCGTCAAACTGGACAGCAAGCATGTTTCGTCAGTAAACGTCAGGCTTGCACAGAGCTGCGGCGCAATCTTGCTCCTCTATTCCACAGAGAACATTCCGCGTCAGCGATGAGACCGCCCTTTTGCAAACTGTGAACAAAATCCATTCCTTTGGTCAACGGTTGAAGGGGACCGAGCATTCCCATTTCAGAGGCGGGTTTATTCCCACCTTTTCTACTCTGGTCTTGTCGATGGTTCGTTTTCCCGTCACAAAGTGGGTGGTGCCGGATTTTCCACACCAGCCGACGAGAAGTTAAGCCACGTTGCTAAGCTCGCGACAATCTGGATTGTTCTATTCCTCGTCGCCTTGCGCACCTGGCCGATACACCAGCTGAACGTGAAGAATGCATTTCGCCTTTAATTTCGTCGACCCTTGCTCGGTTGTTCGTTGCACAAATATTTATAGGGTTTCAAACAGGCTACTCTAGTTGTCCCAGTGATTAGTCGAGCCCCATCTAGCCCAGCACGAGCCCATAAAGGAAACCACTTTACCAGCCCATAGCGACCATCGCGTCCACCGGTCCCACTGTGCAGTGTGACGGCGTCGCGCAGCGCATTTCCGCTCCAATGTTTTCAACCCGTTTCCCTCTCCACGATTCAAAATTCTCCCCTTTCCAATCCCCAACTCCGCCTCCTCCCCCAGACATCCTCTCCCGCATCCCATGGCGCCCGCCGCGGCCGTCACCGGCGCCGGGGATTCCGATCGTCTCGCGCGCGAGGTGGCGCGGGTGCTGGACGAGTGCCGCGCATCCCACGCCGTGCACCCGCGGAAGCTGCGGGAGCTCGCGGCGCTCCGCTCCTCCTCAGGAGGAGGCGGCGGCCGCCCCTTCCTCGCAGCCTTCTGCGTCGCTGTCACGCCGCTCTTCGCCCTCGCCCGCCGATCCGCGGGATCCGACCGCGTCGCTCGCTTCCTGGCTGCCTTCGCGTCCGCTTCCGCATCTTCTTCGGCCGACGGCGGTGGGAACGGGTTCCTCGAGGAGTTCCTTCGCTTCCTCGTCACCGCGTCCAAGGCCGCGCACCGGCCCGCGCGATTCCGCGCATGCCAAATCATCTCCGAGGTGAGCTAAGGAAAATCACTTGAAACTTTGCCCCCCTCATTTACGGTTTTTATTTCTCCCTCGAGATGGGAGTACTTATTTTAGTGAAAAACTAGTTTCCCTCAGTACGCTATAAAGCTGTTTATAGATGTTAAAATTTTGTTGTGTTTAACTTCTTCAATTGAGCTTAGGTTCAGCTCTCTTGTGCAAATATGCTTCAATAAAGCACGAGTCTGGATGTTGCCCTTGAACAACTTCTTTGATTTATTCAGCCACCATCAGTAATCTTTTGTTCTAGTTACGAAGAAGTGTTTACCTTGGCAAGTCCTTCATTTACATATTGTTGAGCCCTTCCACTCAGATTGCACGTGCAATTCTGCTTGCAGATTATAATGCGGTTGCCTGATGATGCTGAGGTGAGCGATGAGATTTGGGATGAAGTAATTGATGGCATGAAGGTCCGGGTTCAAGATAAAATCGCTGCAATTCGCACTTATGCTGTGCGAGCATTGTCCCGTTTTGCAATTGATGGAGAGGATGGTGGCATTGTTGATTTATTCCTCGAGACCCTAGACAACGAGCAGAATGCTGTATGTGAGATTGTTCTTAATAGCTTTCCGGTTACTAGTATTCGATATGTTCATCTTGTTGTATCTAATTGTGGCCTTGTTTCATTTTTGAAGGAGGTTCGGAAGGCAATAGTTTTTTCCCTTCCACCATCAAATAATACACTAGAGAGCGTTGTTGAATCAATGCTTGACATTAGTGAATCAGTTAGACGAGCAGCATATTCTGTGCTTTCAAATAAATTTCCCCTGCAGAGTTTAAGGCGAGTAATCATATACGTTGGAAGTAGAACAGACCAATGCACATGCATGAAATGCACAACATTTACTGTATCAGTGAATTTATAGTTTTTTGTTTTGGTTTCAGCATAAAGCAAAGGACTACTGTCCTTCACAGGGGCCTATCCGATAGGTCTGCTTCAGTAAACAACGAGTGCCTGAAGATGCTGAAGGATGAGTGGCTTGTTAAGTACTGCAGAGGAGATGTGATTTCCCTTCTCAGATTTCTTGATGTTGAGACATACGAATCAGTTGGAGAATCTGTAATGGTGGTGCTTCTAAAAGATGGTGCTTTGCGAGTGCATGATGGGCACAGTATTAGGCAGTACTTCACTGCAAATGGTGAAAAAGGTTTTTTATCCTAGTTTATCTCCTAGTCCCTCAGTTCCAAATTATGTCACTTTGGCATTTTTTGGTACATCAGATTTGCTATGTATCTAGACATAAACGTATATCTACATACATAGCAAATTCTATGTATCAAAAAAGTCAAAGCAACTTATAATTTGGAACGGAGGGAGTACTTTCCAACCTGACCTTTCTCTAGATTTTGTTGATCAGTTTATGTTCATTGTGAATATGAATCTCTGACAGAGGACAAAGTAACTAACTCCAATGAAATGAATAAACCTGAAAGACAACCCCATGGAATCGCTATGTTTTTTCAAATTCCTTTGTTTGAAAATACGGAAGAATCAAGTTGTCTCTGCCCATTCCTCCTCTTTCTGCTGGTTGATATCAGCATCCTTATAATATTTTTCAGCAGAACAAGATTCCAATATTCAACTCATGGATGCTGAGGTTGCTCTTTACTGGAGAATCATGTGCAAGCATTTGCAAGCTGAAGCTCAGGTGACCACCAGACTATTTTAGCTTGTTATGCAACATTTTTTATAGTACTTTTGGAAGAAACTAATTCTTAACACAGTATTGTTGTCAACTATTCAATGTAGATACACTCGAAGTATAACTTTTCTTTTGCTGAAAATTTGACCTTTGCTTTTGCTATAATTTTGCATGCCAAAGTGTGGTAGCAGTAACTAGATCTAGGATGCCTAGTGTTGCCAAGAAGTTAATTGTTTTTTAGATGACTTGGTGGTGAGAAGAACCAATCCTTTGCAAGCATCATTCATATCATGTCAAGATTAGCCGATATAAAAGGGGCGTACCCAGTGCAGAGAGCTCCCGCTCTGTGCGGGTCTGGGGAAGGGTGTCAGTGGCAAGCCTTACCCTCGCCTGTGCAATGTGAGAAGACCGCGACTTGAACCCGGGACCTTCCGGTCACAGGTGGTAAGACTCTACCGCTTGCACCAGGCCTGCCCTTCCAAGATTACCCGATATGTTGTAATATTTTGTAACTATTGCTATTTCACAACAATACCAGCTGATTAGGTGTAGGAGCTGCAAATTACGAGTCGATTAGTTTCTTTATGAAGTGAATTACCTCTAGGATGCTATTGTTAGGCCTCTGTTATATATGGGGACATGATTTTGCACTGAATGATTACTAAGAAGATGGTTGATTTCAGAATTAGTATTTCTCCCTTAAGATTCTTCCTAGGGATGAAACCAGATCGGATGTAAATGGATAATGTACGGATACAAATATTGGTAGTTGTTTTTCTTTCAGATTTAGGGTCGGATACGGATAGTATAGTTTCGGATGTCAGATATTGATGTCCATCCTGTATCTGTATCAGGTATCTGACTTTGAGTATCCAGATTCGGATACGGTGCAGATATTGAATGTCCGTATTTAGATAAGGATTATCCATTTAATATCTAAACCCCTTCGAACCGACAGATAATCAGGAAATATATGTCCCATTTTCACCCTAGTTCTTCCTCTCAATCTATCTCGATATCTCCTTTGACCTAAAGATACCCCTCCCCCTCCTGACCTTCCCAGCCATGCTGACCATACCGTTCTTGTGGTTATCCACCTTCTGATAGGATTGTTGGATCTAATCTAGAGCAATCATGGAAATACATGTGTTCTGCTAATTTTGAATATAATATATTAAAATTATGGAAAATTTTTTGCTAGTTCTACCGGCTTATAGTGGCTAGTTCCTGGCTGGCAATATCATTCTTTAAAGTTAAATCAATACTTTATTAAGTCAATAGTTATTCTGCAGGTCAAAGGCTCAGAGGCTGCAGCAACTACAGGTGCAGAAGCAGCGGTATATGCTTCTGAGGCTACTGATAAAAATGATCTTCTAGACAGTGTCCTTCCTAGCACAATTACTGATTATGTTGATTTGGTAAAGGCACACCTTTCTGCTGGTAAGCAAGAGTAGTTATTATTCTTTCTATGTATGGACTATTTCTATTGCTTAGCTGCCCATTTCAGGACCAAATTATCACTTCACTTCAAGGCAACTATTGCTACTTGGTGAAATGCTTGATTTCTCTGATACTATGAACCGAAAGATTGCAAGTTCTTTTCTGCATGAGCTTCTCATCAGGCCTCTTGAACATGAAGTTGACAATGATGGGAACCAGATTGCAATTGGAGATGGTGTGAGTCTTGGAGGAGACAAAGACTGGGCGAAAGCAGTGGCAGAGTTGGCCAAAAAAGTGCATTCTTCTGTTGGTGAATTCGAAATGGTGGTTTCCACTGTTGTTGAAGAGCTGGCTAGACCTTGCAGGGAGAGAACAGCTGACTTCATGCAGTGGATGCACTGTCTTGCCGTGACAGGTCTTCTGCTTCAGAATACTTCAACCCTACGGAATCTCCAGGCCACAGCAATTGAGCCTTCAGAACTGCTTCACTCTTTGTTGCTTCCTGCAGTAAGTCCAATTGTCCTACAGTTCTCTATGTGTATACTGTATGGTACTTTATATTATGCTCCCTTCGTCCCAAAAAGGATGCAATTCTAGAATAGTGTTCAAACTCTCTTAAGTTTGACTAAATTTGTATAAAAAGATATTACTTATCGTACTAAATAAGTATCATTAGATTTGTCATGAAATATATTTTCATAATATACCTAATTGGAGTTTTAAATATTGATACTATTTTCCATAAACTCACTCAAACTTAAGTTTTGTTTAACTCTAACCAAACCTAGAATATACCCGTATGGTACTATATGCTAATATTCTTCAGCTCCTGTATACAGTACATTTGCTCTTATGGGTATTGAATTGAGCTGAATTATAAAGTTTATGCCCTTTATCTTATCTCATGTAGGCAAAACAAAATCACGTTGATGTACAAAGGGCTGCTTTAAGATGCCTTTGTCTCCTTGGACTGTTAGAGAATAGACCTAATGCAGAGTTGGTGAAGCAGCTACGCTTATCTTTCATCAATGGGCCTGACTTGGTTAGTGCCATAGCATGCAAGGCCTTGGTTGATCTTGTAACTTGGCATGGGCCACAAGAAATAGATCGAGCCATTGGGATTGAATCGCCAGATCCTAGCTATGAAAAGTCTCAGTTCACTCAAGTTGACCTCTCTGATAAGAATGATGATGATCTAAACATTGGAGTTCTTGATATTTTATTTTCTGGATTCCATAAAGATGACTGGGAATTCGATCTAGAGGGTGATAATCATGATAATGTCCCAACCATACTTGGTGAAGGTTTTGCAAAGATTCTTCTCCTCAGTGGCAATTTTGCAAGTATACCTGCTGATTTGCATACTGTTATCCTCGCTCAACTCATTAGATTGTATTTCTCAGAGCAAGCTAAAGAACTAGAAAGGTCAATTGCTCATTTGTCCTCTGTTATTTAAAGGCATTTGTTTTCTGTTTATTCTCACATGCGCTTTTTTTTCTGTTTCAGATTGAAACAATGTCTGTCTGTCTTCTTTCAGCACTATCCAGCACTTTCAGACAAACACAAGGCAAGCCGATAAAGCTTGCCATACACTGGCTGAAATTATTTTATGTAACTTTTCCCAGATCAAATTTACTGACTGACTGAATAATCCCAGATCAAATTTACTGACTGCCTTTCTTTTCACAGAGTTGTATCTCCAACGCATTTGTACCTGTTATGAAAGCCATGTGGCCTGGTTTATATGGTAATGCTGGGGGTAGCCCTCATGTTATTTCAAAGAGACGGAAACTTGCGGTTCAAGCTTCTCGTTTTATGGTGCAAATGGTGCAAACCCAATTACTTTCAACAGAAAGTATGGACCAAGCTTCGAAAAGTCCTGAAAGTGCTTCAGTTTCCGCAAATGTGTCAAACAATTTTGACATCAGCGAGGAAGGGCTTGCTATCCGTATAGCACTAGAGGTATCAATGAACAATCTAGAAAATACATACACATTTTTTTTTTCTAATATTGCTGGGCACCGAACAAACATCCTCACAATTTTTTGTTAGAATTATATTATAGAGGTTCTAGGGAAAAAACTGACATCATATGGTGCAAATGCTCTAGGTAGTCAGTTGCCCAGATAAGAAGACCGCAGCTGGGAAAGCATATGCTTTGGCCCTGTGCAAGGTTGCGGTGCTTCTAAGATTCCGGCAATCAGAACAGAAGGCCATCAAGTGCATGAGAGGCCTGGTTAATCATTTGGCTGCCTCAGTGGCTTCCGACAAGGAGCTCGTGAAGGAGCTAGCTCAAATGGCTGCACGTCTCAGATCGCTTGATGCCTGTCCAGACGAAGAACTGTCACAAGATGACGAAGATGTCATATTCAGTACGTCTAATGAAAAATAAGAACCTATATCATGTCAATGCATCTCTGCATTTTCGTAAGCTTTCATTTTCTAATGGTTCTTATCGCACCTTACTCTTGTTGTTTCTCAGAGAAACTAGGATTGGATGATGGCTTCAAGTTGGACACCAATCAAGCAGTGCCTCCTACTCCAGCACCACGGTCAGTCCGGCCTCCGGCTCCTGCCAGGAGAAAAACGAAACAGGCACCACCATCCTCTAGCGACGAAAGTGACGAAGAAGGGGGAGAAGTTAGCGTGCCTGCAACATCGGTAAGCAGGGTTCCAGCCACGCCTAGTATGACTGCTGCTGCACGTTCTCAGAGAGCAAGCAAGACTGCTGCTCTGAGCAAGATGTCTGCGAAACCACCTGCTATTGCGTCTGATGGCAGTGAGTCGGACGATCAGTCTGACGTCACGAGTGAGGAGGATTCATACGATGAGGAATCGTCTTAGGTTGCTTTTATTGTTTCGTGCAATCGTGGACTGGAGTTTCTGATGAGGTTCTTGAGTGGAAGAACCAAGTAATGTAATCTAAATAATTAAATTACAGCGGTGAGATATTGTCACACTGCATTATGTATTATTTCGTGTTACTAATCAGTATGAGTTAAAGTCGTCATTTAGGTTTAAGCATCTTGCAACGAACTCGGATCTAAACAAATCGAAATGACAGCGTCGGCTTGATAAGCATTGACCAATATAGCTCGTGAACTGGAAGGACTGTCACACTAAAATGCAAAACCAGCGACAGGATCAAATTTTTACAATGTATGCAACTCCGGCTCAACAGGCTCATCCTATGTACACAGTATACTGAAGAGAGAAGACTTCCCGTCTTGCTCAGCACCATATATAGCACCATACTGAAGAGAGAAGACACCACGCTTCGGTTGCGTCAGTTGCTCTTATCAAGACATTTTATTTACAACGGTTAACAGTGTTGGCACGTGTTGTGAAACGGTCTCAACAGACCCCTGTTCACGAAGTGATCTCATCCATCAGTTACAAAATTAGTGGATAAGATTAGACAATTAGTTTACTCCAATTGACATGTCCTTTGAAAACGTGTCCCTTCGTGACACCTATTCCCTTTAAATATATTTCAGAGATCATGAAAGAAAGTGTTCTTCACGCTTTAACACGTTATCACGTTATCAGCACGCTCTCTCCACTGTCGCTGAGTAGCCCAGAGGACTCGCCGGAGAATTCGTCGGCGTTGGTGCAGAAGAGAAGGAAACAGCCTCCACTGCAAGCGACGCTATTCTCCGCTGGGAAACGAGTTCGCACGAAAGAGAAGTTGAGGCCGAAAACACTTCGCCGTAGGCGAGTTCGCCGGTGCAGTTGCTGTGAAGGAAGAACGAGACATCGGCTTCCATTGCTAGAACCGAAGGCCTGCACCCTCGATTGAGTTTCCAAAAGGATAGAAGCATGGCGATAAGAACAACGATGTTCCAATCTGCGTTGGTGAAGACATAGATGTGGGGAATTCGGGAAGGAATCACTGGATCGAGGTAACTGCCACGATTCGTACCTTCTCAATCGTCAATTTCTTCCTACCATCTTCGTCAGGATCATGGTCACGGAGTTCGTTGTCTCCGCGCTATCACCTATGCCGAGCACTAGAGGCCGGATGCGGCCTCACGCCCGCGGCGAGCGGCTCTGGCTGGGCACGCACGTGCCCCTGAGCGCGCGGCCGGCGCCCTCCACGCCTGCGGCCTCACGCCCTTCAACGTCCCTGATCGCACGCGGCGCTCGCGCGGCCTCGCGCGGGCAGGCGCTCCTGTGAAGCCAGCGGCCAGGGCCCGGCTCCCGGCGGCCTCCGCGCTCAAGCGGCCTGGGGCCCTGCACCCGACGAGCCCACGGTAGGCGGTGGCGATATCCGCACGCGGCGGCTCCGGTTGGGACACGCGCGCGGCCCTTGCGTTCACGCCTCGCATCCGGCGACCGGCTGCCTCCGCAGCCCCGAGGCCGGACAGCCCGGACCAGTTGCCCCGCGGCTGACGGCTCCTGCGCCAACAGCCGAGCGCCCCTCGTTGCGGCTTCTCCAGCCCCCCACGGCGGCAGCCCCGCGCCTCGCTGCGGCCTCGCGCCGACGGCCAGAGGCCAGCCCGGCCGCTTCCGGTCTCCATGGAGGCGGTCGAGCCCAGCACCGGCGGCCCCGCGCGGCCTCCGCGCCCGCGGCCCGGTGGAAGGCCGCCAGGCGGCCGGCACAACAGCGCCTGCGCGAGCCGAATACTCGGTGGCGCGGCCGAGAGGCGGAGCGCCCGAGCGGCGTGTTTCCCACAGGAAACTGCCCGTGGATGGATAAGGTTGTGCATTTTGCACAAAACCCTCCTTATTTCCTGTGAATTATATGATAATCCAAATGGATTATTATTGTATTCCAGATTAATGTTTTAACGATCACGTTTGAACAAAAATGCAGCGTATTACATTTCTTCACGTAAATGCTCATTTTAGACTCTGTTTAAAATGAATCGTGATGCATAATATTTATCTCATGTAAATAAATAAATATTTTTGAGACCCATGTGTCATCAAGAATTGCATCATGACATGTACTGCTGCAGATGAATTTACCACTATAAATTCGCTTTTCAGATCCTATGTTTTCTGGAATTTTTAGTACTGTTCAAAGCGTTTGTCCAAATTAGCAAACCCAATAAACATGTGCTATTAACATTACATGTTCAAAGTGTTTGTTCAAATTGACAAACCCAATAAACATGTGTTATTATTACATTGTTTAAAATGTTTGTCCAAATTGACAAACCCAATAAACATGTAATATTATTATCACAACCTTTGTATTGCAACTATTTTGTTATTTGTAATTTTTATTTCTTGTTAAGCCTATTCATGCTTTATTTAAGGCTCATAGTGCTTACATTTTTAATGCAAAATCGATGAAGTGTATTATCTTATTATTTGTACAACACAAATATTCCACATTGTATATTGGCCATACACAAGGTAGCGTCATAGTTGCTGATGTGGGATCTACACTAAATTCTTAGTGACTATCCTCAATACGCGTACCCAACATCACAAATTGAAACATACGGTCTACATCTTTTCACAAGATGACTACCATTAATCAGCATTTCTATTGGCCATACACAAGGTAGCACTATAGTTGCTACTGCGGGATCTACACTAAGTCCACAACTTAGTGACTATCCTCAACGTGCGTACCCAATTCGTTTACGGATTAACTAAGGTCTACATCAATCTTTTGATGATTACCTTAAAATGTGTTTATACAAATTGCATACACCACTTGGCATCTACTGTTCAACAGACTATGTCCATATTATTAGAGGTCTACATCTTTATGATGACTACCTCTAATGTGTTAGCATAAATGAGGTTTCCACTATTAGTGAGATAGATCTTGTCTCCTATTTATTTTGCATTAATTAATACAGCATCACCATAGCAATTTTAAATTTACCCTTAGCGTAAATTCAGAAAATCTATGGTTTAAATCTTGTTAGAATAATAGCCAGCAAAGAGTTTAATCTCTTGCTCTTGATGGTCATCATTATTTAACATGGTCAATGGACGTAATGTTAAACTTGATGTTCTATGGATTCATGGCAATATTTGGTGCTCCTCATAAGAGAGCATCACCACTTATGATCAATTTAAATACGGAGTTTTATTTAAATAAAGCACCATATACATCCAGATCACATATATGTGCATCTCAATGGATGCAAATCGAAGCACTATATGGCTAACTTTTAATGAGTGATACGAACAACACAAGACAGTCATTTTGTCCAATGCCAACTATGATTGGCCACAACTTTATCTCTAGGATCTTAAGTCCATTAGAGAATATAATTATGTTGTTCCAAAATATCCGCCAACATTACGTTTTCGCGAAAGCACACAACTTACCAAATATATTCTAGATTAATTCCTACATTACTTCAGGTCTAAGTGTATGATAAACTCTTATCGATGAATCATCATTAGCATTATAGTGATGCTCTATCATCTGAAGTACATTGAATTTCCAGAATCATTACAAGTTCGAAGCCATGTAATAATGCCATCCATAAAACTTTAATGGTAAGATTTAACGCAAAAATAAGTAGCAGTCCTGTGCATTCTTTAGGGTCAAGGCATTTCCCAGATATGACATAACCATATTTTGTCCCAATTGTGTATGTTACAGCCACACAACTTGGAAATGTCATGCCTTAAACATTTAATTGATCGGTATTACAAATCCATTAGACAAAAATATCCAGCTCAACAATAAAGATATGAAGCACGCTTCTATCTTCAACCTGACACCACCAGGAAGGCCAGTTGTTCACAACAAGTTTCATGAAGAAACCAAGTAGCAACCAAACACTTAATTAATAAGTGGGTCTTATGAGCATGGAGAACACGATCATCAAATTTACTTCGCTTGATCCATTTTGGAGACCAAATTTGTCTTCCATTTACAAAGATACCTAGTATCTACGTCCTATTTTGGTGTTGTAATATAAAATATTATCATCAATTTCAATTGAATATCACAATAATGTGTCATCACATTTGATATTCCATTAATTAACTTATATGAAATCTATATATCTGCAAAGAATGTCATTATATTCTTCATGCTATATATAGACCTATACGGGAGTCAATCCAAATGCAAAGAGAAATTTTGCCTAATAGATAGTTGCACCACAAACTCTATATATAGGGAAGCAAAATATTCCTAAACTCTTACATAGAGACAAGAAAATACTTTATTAATCGCTTGACGCGATGTCATGATAGTGGGCTTTGGTCGTGCTACTATCATACTCTCTATTGGTACTCAAATAATAATCATGAATCTATTCTTATATTCTGATTCCATAATGTACCCAATTAAAATTATAGAGATATCCGTCAATGTGGTTTTCATATGGAAACCCTAAGATGACAACTAAGAGGAGTATTTTTCTCTTAACAACAGATATGGCAATACTTACACAAAACATCCTCAGTTCGATTTGACTACACATACATAACCTGTATACAATGTTGCGTACAAATAATTCTCTCTTTATGTCAACAATGAAAGCTCTAGTTTGGTTTTGGTTAATTGATGAAACCCTAAGTGCTAACCTAGTTTATCTAAGTGTTTATGAGATAGGTAGCACTAATCCAAATGATGAAGCAAAGACGAAGATCATGACAATGGTGATAGCATGGTGATGATCAAATGCTTAAACTTGGAAAAGAAGAAAGAGAAAAACAAAAGGCTCAAGGCAAAGGTATATTTGATAGGAGCCATTTTGTTTCAGTGATCAAGACACTTAGCGAGTGTGATCATATTTAGGATTGATAGCCGTACTATTAAGAGGGGTGAAACTCGTATCGGAATACGGTTATCAAAGTGCCACTAGATGCTCTAACTCATTGCATATGCATTTAGAATCTAGTGAAATGCTAACACCCTTGAAAATATTTGTGAAAATATGCTAACACATGTGCATAAGGTGATACACTTGGTGGTTGGCATATTTGAGTAAGGGTGTAGAAGTTAGAAGTGAAATAGAGTTGGTCGCAAAGATGCTGGCGTCGGTCAACTGACCGGACGCTGGGTCGCTCAGCGACCGGACGCTGAAGGACTGCGTCCGGTCGGACTGACATGTTGGCACAGTACCTAGGGTATTGCACCAGACGCTGGGCAGTGTTCGGTCGAGGTGGACCGGACGCGTCCGGTCGGCAAAAGTCGGTTTTGGGAGCTTACTGGAAACGACCGGACACTGGGTCTGAGCGTCCGGTCACTTGTGCCGGAGCGTCCGGTCAGTCAATAGCCGTTGAGATCTGGTGGCTCAGGTTTAACTTAGAATGACACGTGGCTTACATCGGGCTACCGGACGCTGGGTCCAGCGTTCGGTCAATATGACCGGAGCGTCCGGTCACCCCCGTGTTGTGCCCAGTGAAGGGGTACAACGGCTCTATTTCATGGGGGCTTCTATTTAAGCCCCATGGCCGGCTCAAGCTCACTCTCTTGGCCATTTTCATGGACATAGCAACCTTGTGAGCTTAGCCAAAGCCCTCCACTCATCTCCATCATTGATCCATCATCATTGTGAGATTGGGAGAGAATCCAAGTGCATTGCTTGAGTGATTGCATCTAGAGGCACTTGGCATTCGTGTTGCGCTGCGGATTTCACTTGTTTCTCTTGGTGGTTGCCACCACCTAGACGGTTGGAGCAGCGGTGGAGGATTGGCACGGGTTGGTGATTGTTCGTGGCCATCTCTGGTGATTGTAAGGGGAGTTGTACCTTCTCCGGCGGAGTGCCGAAAGGTAACTCTAGTAAATTGCTCGTGTCATTGAGTTACCTCACTTGTGGGGCGGTTCTTGCGGTGTCCTATCGTGTGGACGAGGTTTGTGAAACACCTCTTAGCCACCGAACCACCAAGTGTTGGTCGACACAACGGGGACGTAGCGTGTTGGCAAGCACGTGAACCTCGGGAGAAAATCGATTGTCTCTTGTCTTTGGCATTCTCCCAGTGATTGGCTATATATTTATCTTGTGATTGGTTCATCCCCTACACGGCGGTATAATCACCCTACTCACTTATTTACATTCTTGCAAATTAGTTGATACAAGCTCTTTAGTATAATTAGAATTGAGAGCTTGCTTTATTATTTACATTCATCTAGTTGAGCTCTTTAGAGTAGCAAGATTGAGAACTCTTAGTGAGTAGTTACATAGCAAGTTTGTGTGCCTAAGTAATTATTGCAACTAGAATTGTTGGATAGGTGGCTTGCAACCCTTATAGAGCTAGAGCAAGTTTGCATTACGCTATTTGTCATACTAATCAAATTGCTCTAGTTGATTTGTAGATTTTAAAATAGGCTATTCACCCCCCCCCCTCTAGCCATATTAGGACCTTTCAAACAAGACCTGGCACATTTGCCTTAGTTATTCAACTATAGAGATAACTTGAGAATTATTGTCAATTCTATTGGTCATAGCATCAATACGAGCCACTACATTTCTTGAAGAAATTCAAGAACATACATGTGACTCTATTTACCATTTTATGGACCATAAAGATACTATATAATGCACATTTATGCATCCATAATATAGTCCCAGGTGTGTCTCTTAGTCAT